ATCTCAGTGACGCACGCTCTGCGGTGAAAGATGCGTGGTGCTAGACCTACATGTGATGCAAGCCACGTTGATCGGCCACGGTGCGGCCACGCGGCGTCCACGGGGCGTCTACGGGCGGCCACGGGTGGCCACGGGGCGGCCATGGGGCGGCCACGGAAAAAATCCTCGGGTTACTCACCCAACTCCCCAGCAAGCAACAAGGAGGAACCCAGAAGCGCCAAGCACTGTCTGGGGAGTTAGTTCCAGCAAGAAGCGATGTACTCCATGTCGATGGCGCGGTCCACCGCCGTGGGCCCTTGCTGGGCCCTGGGGCTGTCAAAAGGCGTCCCGACATGAAAAGACGGCCCCGTGGCAGGAGTCCAGGCCTCCAGGGGGTCACGCTGCCAAAGGATCTCGGCGTCGGAGGGTCCAGTTTTTTTTTGTTGCTGTGCCTCCGGGCCGCTAGGGGGCTTCCCGTCGCCACGGGTTGCATCCCCTTCGAGATTCCTTCTGGCGGGAACGCGCCCCAGGAGAGGTCCTCCTCCTCCTCCTCCTCCTCCTCCTCCTCCTCCTCCTCCTCCTCTTCCTCCTCCTCCTCCTCTTCCTCTTCCTCCTCCTTCTCCTCCTCCTCCTCCTCCTCCTCCTCCTCCTCCTCCTCCTCCTCCTCCTACTAGCCAGGATCGCCACGAAGAACAGCAGGTCCTGGAAGAAAGGGGTCCTGCAGGTGCTTCACCGCTCTCGGGCTCCCGGTGGCCCGCCCTCCCTGGACTCTGCTTGGCATCGCTCGGCTCGGGCGCGCGCCTTTCCCCACATCCTGAGTGGGCCGCCTGCCTTCATCATAACAGATCACGCTCGTCACGATTACCATTACCATTACCATCATCAGCACTATCATCATCACATCCTCCTCACCATCAGCAGCAGCATCATCATCACAACCACCACGACCACCACCACCACCACCATCATCAGCATAAGCATCATCATCATCACTATCGCACCACCATCGTCATCACCATCACGATCGCCACAATCATTGTAATCGACCGTCGTTTCTCATCATCACCACCACAATCATCAGCATCATCATCACCATCAGCATCAGCATCAGCATCATCATCATCAGCAGCAGCATCAGCATCATCATCAGCAGCAGCATCATCATCCGTAGCCATTTTGGTTCAAGCCTTTCCGTAGGCCCCCTGCTCCTGGACCGTGTCCCTCTGAGGGCTTCGGGGGGGGCAGGGCTCTTGGCTCACGGAGCGATGGTGGCACGGGATGGCGCGGAGTGCGCGCCAAGGCGATCGGCGGCCCAGCGCAGGGCAGGCCGAGAGTGGGCGAAGTGGTCCGCCGACAATGCCGTCAGGCGGTTCTCGGGCGAGCTGGCCAAGACCCGATTTCGCTTTGAAGCCGCGGACGAGGCCCAGTGCGCCGTCATCGGCGACGGCGAGGCCTGGCACCGACTGCAGGCGATGCTCCCCGCGCTGCAGGCCAAGCTTGGGGGTAGGTCCCACACATGGCTCGAGCGCCTGCGGCGTAATGTCGCCCTCCACGCTGAGGCGCAGGGCGTGGACATCGCGGCGGCGGGAGCGGCGGAGCTGCGCTGTGCCCAGCGGGGGCCCCGGCTGGAGGGGCGCGCGGCGCCCAGGCGCGAGGCCGAGGAGGCTGCCGCTGGGGCGATGCGGGCGGAGGTGCCCTCCCTTTTTCCTGCTGGCCTCCTTGGCGCTGTCACGCCCGACCTCGCACCTGAAGGAGTCGGCCGAGATGGGGGCGTCCGAGCTGCGCGGGCGCGGCGCCACCGCGCGGCAGTCGCCGTGAGTTTCAGGGACTACGTCGACGCTATCGCGGAGGACGGCAGCGAGCAGCTGGAGCCTCTGGATGGCAGGCCGCGGGCGCGATTCCCTAGGGAGCTCAAAGCGCCTCCGTTTATTTTACTGGGGCCAGCAGCGGTCCTTGGGGGGCCCAGACAGGGGCAGACCATAAAGGAGGGCAACGGACCTTGGCGCGAGGCCGCAGACATGCGGGTGGCCGAAGCCCTTGACCAGGTCCAGCCTCCACCCTGGGCCGCGGATGCGCGGGTGGCCGGAGCCCCAGGGGAAAGAGGCCCCTCGTCGGCGTCGGGGCGCGGAGACGCCCTTGGGGAGCCCGCTGCTGGGCAGACCCAGAATGGGGGGGGGGGAGCTCTGGAGCAAGGCCGCAGACGCGCGGGTGGCCGAAGCCCTTGACCGAGCTCAGCCCCATTCCAGGGCCACGGACGCGTGGGTGGTCGAAGCCCCTGGGATGAGGGCCCCCTCCCAGCGGCTGGCGTCGGGACGCGGAAGCGTCCTTGGAGAGCCCAGACAGGGGCAGACCCTAAAGGGAGGGGGAGGCGAGATCATGCTCGAGGCCGCAGACGTGCGGGTGGGCGTTTCCCTCGACCGAGCTCAGCATCCGCCCAGGGCCACGGACGCGCGGGCGGTCGAGTCCCCTGAGCCGAGCGCCCCCCCCCAGGCGCTGGAGGATCATAAGGGCATGCAAAAGCGCGAGTTCGGCCTGGACCTGGACGAGGACGGGGGCTTCTTCGAGGGCGGGCTGGAGGACCCGAAGGGCCAGCACCAGCGCGAGGTCGGCTTGTGCCTAGGCGCGAACGCGAGCGCGTGCGAGGACCGGTCGGAGTGCGGCGGCCTTGGCGGCGGCGCAGGCTTCCTGTCTGCGCGCGAGCTCCTGGAGGCGGGGGCCGCCTCTCGGACCTCCCTCGCCGCGGCCAGCATCCTCTTGGGGGTCCCACTCGAGGCCCCGTACCAGCTCGCGGGCGTCGCGGGCTGAGTCGCCGTGACCTCGGGTGTCGTTGTCCGCCTGCTTCGGCTGGGGCGGGGGGCGGCTTCTCGGCATTCAGGCGAATCTGCGCGTGTGTGCCTTGGGCACGAGACCGTGCGTTGCCTACGCAGGGCCAAAGGGAAACGCCTCGGTCCGAGGGGCAGTACGAGCTAGGAGCTCCTGACCTCTTTAGACGCGCGGATCATCATCATCCTCATTATCATCAGCACCAGCATCAACATCATCAGCATCACCAACAGCATCAGCATTGCACACATCACTCCACCCACCCTCTCTCTCTCTGTCTCTCTCTCTTTCTCTCTCTCTCTCTCTCTCTCTCTCTCTCTCTCTCTCTTCCTCTCTCTCTCTCTCTCTCTCTCTCTCTTTCTCTCTCTCTCTCTCTCTCTCTCTCTCTCTCTCTCTCTCTCACCTTCTCAGTTTGAGGAGGTCTCGAGCGGGAGCCTCGTCTGTGCGTGAATTGAGAGGAAGTCTCAGGCGGGAGCCCCCTCCCCATAGGGCCCGCAGCTCATGTAAGTAATCCGAGCGGGTCATCAAAAAACTTGTAATTATCGTCACGCTTGGGCTTCTTAGGCTTGAATGTGGGGGGCAAGTCAAGCGGAAGCCGAGTCTGCGAGTGGATTGAGAAGAAGTGTGAGGCGGGAGCCCCCTCCTTATGGGGCACGCAAGTCGCGTTGGTAATCCGAGCGGGTCATCGAGAAATGTGTAAGCGTTGCACTTTTGAGTTCCTGAGGCTTGAATATGGAGAAAGTATCCAGCGGGAGCCTCGTCTGTGAGTGGATTGCAAGGACGTCTCAGGCGGGAGCCCCCTCCCCATCGGGCCCGCAGCTCATGTTAGTAATCCGAGCGGGTCATCAAATTCCCGTGAGTGCCGTCACTGCGAGGCTTGAACCTGGAGTAAGTGTCGAGCGGGAGCGTCGTCCGGGAGTGGATCGCGGGGGCGTCTCCAGCTCGCGCTCGGAAAAGGTCGCCGCCACTGGCCTTCACGGGCCACACATCCCTATGGGGTTCGCACTTTTTGTTGGCAGTCCGAGCTGGTCGTCGGCACACTTGTTACTGCCGAGACGTCCTGGAGCGCGGGCCGCCGGCGTCCTTGCGGAACGCGTTCGAGGAGTTCGACAAGAGAGCGGTGACCTCCACGGGTGTGGCGGAGCAGCTCGCGGCCGAGCTGTAGTTCAAGTTGAAGCTGCCTCCCGCCTGAGCGCAGCCGCGATTAGTTCGAGACTTGCGGGGTTGTCCCAACGGCTGGCTCCCGCGCCCCAGCGGCTCGCGGGGTTGTCCCAACAGCCTTGCCCGCGGGGCTGCCCCAACGGCTTCGCGATCCGGCTATAGGAGAACGCCCCCATGCCGCCCGTGGCCGCATCGGCGCCGAGGAAAATCAGCTTGCCCTTGCCAGGAGCCAGGGGAAGTGCATTGGGAAACAGGCAGGAGGAGGGCACGAGAGGGAGAGTGAGTAGGAGGAGGAGGAGGAGGAGGAGGAGGAGGAGGAGGAAAAGGGAGGAGGAGGACGAGGAGGAGGAGGAGGCGAGGAAGAGAAGGAGGAGGAGACGGAGGGCGAAGATGACGAAGACGAGGAGGCGCAACAGAGAGCGGGAGGAGAGCTTCCGCCAAAGCGAATGGGAAAAAGCGATGGGCAAGTTAAATATAGTTTCGTGTTGGGCCCTACTGTCGGAGTAATTTTTCTCGGCGAGAGCCAGCGAGGAGCATGTTGGGTCATCCTGCGAAAAACTACACGTGGGAAACAAAAAATGCACGAAGAATGGACGTCGGAGCGATGGCGGGCTTGGGACCATCAGAAAGGGGGTATGGATAAAAACAAAAGTTCTGGAGAGAGATCTGGGATCCAGGACCTTAGTTGTCTCGATACGCCCGTATTGAAAACGCAACACGTCCCGTGTTCAAGACGTCCGTGTCGATACGTTGCGTGTTGACTCCACGTATTGGCCCACGTTTTGGCGAACGTATCGCGTCGGACCCGCGTATTCAGCCCACGTGTTGAGCTCCGTATCAATACGCCACGTGTTGCGTGTTGCGTGTCGGGGAAGCTAAGTCCAGGACCTGTCGTGCAAGACCGGTCAGTTTGATTGTTGTGAGACCCCCGTGGGCGGCTTCCCCTCATCCGCGTGCGGGATCCGCTTCGGTCAGTTCGCTTGTAGGAGCGGCGGGGCCGAACGTGCGATAGAGCTCGGCTTGTGGACAGCCGCGAGGCAGAGCCCTTTCCGCGGCGGACCATCAGCATGGGTGGGACGGACATGTGCCCCGACGCCGCCCTGGGAGCCGCGCGGCAGAGGCACGCGGCCTGCCTGGATGCCCTCAAACGCCGGCAGGCGGGCTCGAGGAAGCAGATGGAGCGAGCTCGGGGGCAACCTTAGGGAGGGATGGGTTGGGGTGGGGGCGCATCGGCCCCCAGTGGCCCGCTGATCGCCCAGGACCATGCGGAGTCGCTGACGGCGGCGCATCGCCGATCTATCGGCGATCTATCGCAGATTCCGGGTCGATGCTTCCGCCTCTGAGCCAGGCCCGCCGTACCCTTCCCCTTCAGGAGCAGTTCCTGCGCTCTCAGACGGAGGCCGTGCAGACTCTGCGGCAGGCCAAGCTGGACAGCGGTGGCTCGGGCGCTTCGACCCCCACCTCGGGCATGCGGCGCGGCCTGACGGAGTCGTCCCTTGCGCTGGCCATGCCGGACCAGCTGTCGCGCAAGTCGAGCTGGGCGCAGCTCCACGAGGGAGACTCGATGTTCGTCGCCATGAGCGGGCTGGCCGAGCTCCAGCACGAGATGGCGCAGGAGGTCTCAGAGCTGCGTCGGGCAGTGGTGGTGCAGGCCTCGCAGATGCAGCGCCTGGCAGCCGTGGCCGAGGTGCCCGAGGGCGTCTGCCGTGGCAGGGTGCGCTTCTTGGCGGCTTTCCTGCTGGGGCTGACGGTCCCCTGGCTCGCCGGAGTCTGGAGCGGCAGGGGTGGCCTCAGGCTACGCACGCGCACGCGGAGCGACGGCAGCGGCTACAAGGACGACGGCGATGGAGCTGCGCCCGTTGCGGCAACAAGTACGAGGATCGCTACGAGGATTCGGAGAAGAAGAAGAAGAAGAAGAAACGGCACAAGCATAAACCTTGGGAGAATTCTGCGCGGAGTTCTTGGATCTGCGCCGGACCCCCCTGGGCGGCGCCCTGCGACGCCGCCCCTGGCTTGCTCCGCGCGCCAGGAAATCTGCAGGCACCTCCAAAGCCTTATGTTTGTGTCTTTTCTTGCTCCGAGGAAGTGGGCCTTCAAGGCCCAGCTCGGCGCTGCCCATGCGTCTCTTGCCAGGACAAAAATGCCGTGCCCCGTGGCCCTGATCCGATCGGCATTTCTCCGTGGCCCTGGGGGAAGGCGCCGCGCAGCTGCGACAGACCCAGGCTGTGGGCGAGCTGCGTGATGTGCATACCGCGCGGGGGCGCGCCTCACAGCCGCCGCCCATTGTAAGGGCGAGGGCGCGCTTGCATCCTCGCCTCGTCTGCCCATGCTCGTCCAACTTCGCGGGCCGCTCATGGAAGGCACGCGAGGGGCGCCAGGGGGTGGGGGCGCGGCTCCGACACGCCCGCGTGCAGCCAGAGACGCCAGAGGGCATTGCACTCCTGCCTGGCATCCTCACAGTGCGCGGCGACTGCACCGCCCTCTCTCTCTCTGGCCCCTCCATCCTCCCGCTTGGCGGAGGAGGCAGGACCTAGGCCTGCCGGCCCTCCTCTGGGCCCCAGCAGCGCTGGAGCGCTGGACACGAGCCGCTGCAGAGTCGACTGCGCGTACGAGTGACCATTCGCCAGAGTGACGTCTGGTGCGGGCCCACTAGTCGGAGGTGGACAAACCTCCTACCTTGACACGTCGACTAAGGAATTGGCCGTTTTCGGTTCGCGAGAGGGTGTCGCGGCCGTCATTTTTGCGGGTCCAGGTCCGTCGGTTTCGTCCCAGGCCGTTTTCACTAAGGGGAGGTTTACTAAGGGGAGGTTTGTCCACCGCCGAACTAGGGTCCCCCGATCGCTGCATGCGATGCGATAGCAGCGGCTTGCACGTTCGGGCTGCCCCCCCCCCACCCACGCCCCCCCCCGAACCCGCGCACACAAGGTCACTCTTGCCCAGGATCACTTCTGCATGTAGGCGAGAGAGGCACCAGACAGGCTGCGCTTGTTGGACTCAGGGGCCGTCTCCGTTCGCAGGGGGCGAGGGCCATCGCGCCCGAGCCGTGTCAGGGCAGCCCCGGTCGCGGACCTTCGGGCTTGTCCCCCACGATCTCTGAATTCGGGGCAGCGTCTTTTTTGAAAAACGCGGTGCAGCACAGACCATCCGCACGGATTGCGAGCGTGGCTAGAAACAGCAAGTGTTCTCTCGTGCCCATTATGCTCCTCATCACCGTTCGTCCTCGTATCACACCTCGTCCTAGCAGTAGTAGTCGTCCTTCCGCCCTGTTCCCTCATGCCTCCATCTTCCCTCCTCTCCCATCCATTCTCTCCTCCGTATCCTCCTTCTCTATTTCCCCTTCCGCCATCACCTGCTCCCGCCTCTCAACGACTCATCCGCTTCATTATCCGCCTCCCTCATCCTCCTCGTTCTTAAACAGAGCTCTGTCCGTGCTGACTTGTATGCTTTCTACCAGTTCCTGGTCCGTACTACTGGAGATGTGATTGTTTATTGCGATTGCCTCCCTGTGTGCCGTGGTTTCCGCCGTCCCTTGTGTGCTAAAAAGAAGTCAGCCATGTTAGACCTGTGGACATTGGTCCATGAGGAGCTCTCCCGTAGGCCAGGTGTTGTGACCCTCCATTGGACCAAGGCCCACCCCACCCACAACCAGATTGATAATCTTGGATTGCGTCCTGGCGAATTATATGTGAATCAGGCAGCTGACTTTTTTGCTGCCAAGGCTGCCCTCTCTCACTCCCTCCCCCCTGAGCAGGTCCAGGCCACAGAGGCCGCCGACTCCCTCGCCCGACAGGTGATCGGCCGTCTGTTGGCCATCCAAAGGGAGGTGCTCTTCACAGCGCCCCCCCGCCAGGCACCGCAGGCGGGCCTGCCTCAGGGGAGGAGGAAGAGGGGTGTCGTGTCGTCGTTGGAGGTTCGTGTCGGTCGATTGAGAGAGGCTGGCCATGACCCGAAGGTGCGAGCTCGGGTAGCATGGTGTACCCGCTGTGCTCGCACCATTTCTTTGCGTGGAATGCTTGACGAATTTTGGCCATGTGAATGCAAACCCAGAGGTGAGACGGCCCCTTTTCACTCGGTTGTTTACCGACCCTGGGGCCCCCGTGAAGGCTGATCCCCCTCTTGCACAGCGTGGTGCACTTGCGCACCCGAGGGCTGGAGATACGCACCCGTCTCATACTCTCGAGGCTGTCCGTGGCATTTTGTACTGTTCTCGATGTGGTGCCGCATGTGTGGAGCAAGCTCGCAAATTGTTGAAGTCTTGTGAGCGGCCCACACAAATTGGCAAGGATGCGCCACAGCGTATTGCACGTGGATTGCCCCCTAAGTCTGGGATGGTTTTCCCCGAATTGTGATAAGTGTGTGTTTATGCGGCCAGGCTTGCACCTGCGTTGCGCACTGGTATAATAATAATAACCCTCCCCATCCTCCCTCCCCTTCTCTCTTTCTCTCTCTCTCTCTCTCTCTCTCTCTCTCTCTCCCTCTCTCTCTCTCTCTCTCTCTCTCGTTTTCTCTCTCTCTCTCTCTCTCTCTCTCTCTCTCTCTCTCTCTCTCTCTCTCCATCTCCTCAACCCCTTTCTCCATATCCTCTTGTTTCTCCCCCCTGATCCTCCAGCTCCAGCTCCTCGCCCCCTTACCCCCGCTTATGTGGGAAAGAAAAAGGGAGAGAGAGAGAGAGAGAAAAAACAAAACAAAAAAAAAAAAAAAGAGAGAGAGAGAGAGGGAGAAAGGGGGAAACAAAAAGAGAAAGAGAAAGATAAGGAGAAGGAGGAGGAGGAGGAGGAGGACGGAGGAGCACGGTGGCAGACAAAGGCGGACAACGCGGCTAATATATCTCATCGTAATCACCTGCCCTAATTTGAAACACCGAAATGGAGTGCTGCAACTTATAGGCAAGGGAGGCTCGAACACCCGACGGGCTGGCGCCAACCCAGGCCAAGACGGAAAGCATGAGCGAACAGGGATCAGGGAGGAGTGCACTGACCCAGCGCACGCAGTGAAACTGAAGCTAGAACTCCATGGACCGAGCGGCCGTGGACAGCACAGTGCAGAGCTCGCAACCGGCTCACAGGCAACGGACCGCTGACCGTGGGGAAGCCAGGGACCGAAAAAGCGTCAGACAAGGCAGAACGGGGGCGATCCACGACGAGGAGGCCAGAGGATTTGCGCTGCGCTGTGACCGTACAGACGACGCGCACCGAGAGCGATGAAGGCGGCAGGAGCTGGCCAGTGCGGTCATGAAGAGAAGCCCGAGCCCGGAAGAACACGACGCCTCGTCGGCGTCGTCGTCGTCGGCGGCGTCGTTGTCGGCGTCGTTGTCGGTGTTGTCGTCGTCGTGGTCGTCGGCGGCGGCGTCGTCGTCGGCGGCGTCGTCGTCGGCGGCGGCGTCGTGGCCAGCCGGTCGCACGCGGGGGCGGCCCGCGACAGGGAAGCGCTGGCCGAGACAACGACAGGTTGAGAGCCGTGCTGCCGACACGATCCCCGGGACGGCGCAGGCGGAGGGCCAATTGCCCGAGGCAACCTCACCCCCAGGGGCGGCCCGAACCCGCGGGGGACAGGGATCCGTCCCCAATCGAAACAGCTGGGCATCGCTCGGGCGTGTGCATTTTGTCCGTGGCGAGGGCCATCGAAAAGCCGTGAGGGTCACCTTGCGAGAAACTGCACGCACGAGAGCGAAAAGCGCACGGGGAAGGGACGTCCGAGCGATGGCGAGACAGGGGAATGGAGGGGAGGGAGGAAGACGGGGGCAGAGGAGGGAGAGGCACAGGGAGGAGCAGAGAGAGGAAGAGAGGAAGAAGGGGCGGAACCCTGTCACCCCGAGAGGTGAGGCCCACGCAGGGGCGGGATATCCTCGAGGAGCACCGCCAAAGAAGACACGAGCAGCCCGTAAGCGCTGCCCAGAAATAACGCACAAGCGTGCCGTAGCTCACGAACTGCATCCACCTGGCGAGCGGCATCAGGAACTGCGTCACATGCCGTGGCTCACGAGTTGCATGACCTGTCGTAGCTCAGGGCCGCCCGTGCCGTAAGTCACGAAGTGCATCATGCGCCGTAGTTCACCAGCTACTCCAGAACATGGAGAACACAAGGAATGACACGAGCTGCTACCAGTTGGCCGCGGGAACCATGGAGAAGGAACAAGCGACCCGGACCACGGCGGGGCGCGGTCGGTTTGGGCGGACAAGCTGGCGTACAGAAGGTTACTGCGCAAAGGAGGGCCGACACCAAGAATGGAACGGCGAGCCGCTTGCGCACGGAGCCTTGAGGAGCAGCAGCAGCAGCAGGAGGGAGGAGGGAAACCGAGGGAGGCCAGAAGAGAGAGGAGGGGGCGGTGGAGCAGCAGCACCAGGAGGAAGGAGGCAGAGGGAGGAGGAGCCCCTTCCCCTTTTCCCCCTCCCCCTCCCCTTCCCCATCCTCCCCCTCCTCCTCCTCCTCCTCCTCCTCCTCCTCCTCCTCCCCCTCCTCCTCCCCCTCCTCCTCTTCGTCTTCCTCCTCCTCCTCCTCCTCCTCCTCCTCCTCCTCGTCCTCCCCTCCTCCTCCTCCTCCTCCTCCTCCTCTTCCTCCTCCTCCTCCTCCTCCTCCTCCTCCTCCTCCTCCTCCTCCTCCTCCTCCTCCCCCTCCTCCTGGAGGAGGACGACGACAGCGCCCAGCCTCTGCCGGTCTCGCCCTGGCCAACCCGTTGCCCGCCGCAGGTCGCCCCCGTTCGTCCACCGGGACCTGAAGAGCCTCAACGTGGTGCGCCGCCAGCGCGGCCGCGCGGCTACCCAGTGCTGGGCGCGGCATCCCCAGCCTCCAGCGTCGGAGCTGACGACGACCCGGGCCTCCGAGGATCTCGTTTCCCCTCGCGGCGTTCTGTCCTCGGTCTCGGGCTCTGCAGCCCGTGCTCGGGCAACCGGGGCCACCGAACATGGATATGGGGCGCACAACGAGCCCCAGGGAAGGGGTTGGGAGCTCCTAGGCCGCAGAAATTCTATATTAACAAACCAACTAAACAAGACAAAACATTATAGAAAAAAACTGACTGGCAGATGTCAGGGGGTAAGGTATAAACAAACAAGCAGAAACGAGTTGTCTTACGATGTTTGTGCAATGTGGGAGTCCAGGGCCCAGCCTCAGGCTTAGAGCTCGACGTCGGAGGTCTGAGGCTAGCCTCTCCGTCCGTCCCTTTTGCCGACCATGCTTCCCTCCATCTGTCCCTCCTTGCGGCCCTCCCCCCCCTTTCTTGGCTGGCGCGAAGTGCGTGTGTCCTCGCAGCGCGAGGTGATGGACTTCGCCCTGAACGCCAAGCTTTGTGACTTCGGCCTGACGCAGTCGATGGAGCTGCCCCCGCCCTCCTTTGTCGTCGCCCACAAAGGGGTGGCGCGAGGGGGGAGGCTTCTAACAAGACGGAGGGGCGTCTTTGAAGGCAGGGGTTCTCTCAGAAGGCCCTGGAGGAGGCTTCTAAGAAAGCTTCTTGGAAGCCGAGCGGGTTTCTTTCGAATAAGAGAAACCATAAGCATAAGCCGTCGCTGATCCGCTCGGATTCCTGGTAGCTGCGCTGATCCCCCCCCGCAGGGGCGGCGCCAGAGACGCCGCCCGGGGGGGGGGGGGGCCACCGCCGATCCAAGACATCCGCGCGGAGCGCCGAAAGTTTCTGTGCACGCCCTTCTGTTGTTCTTCTCGCCCCCCTCGCGCCGCCCCCTTCGTGGCCCGCCCCCCTCGCGGCGCCTCCCATCGCGCCGGCCCCTTTTCCTCTCCTTCCTCCTCCTCCTCCTCCTCCTCCTCCACCTCCTCCCCCTCCTCCTCCCCCTTCGCGCTGGCCCCCCTCCGCGCCCCCCCCCCCCCTTGGAAGCCCGCCCCCTTCGCGAAGCGCCCCCATCGCGCGGGCGCCCCTCGCTCTCCCAGCGCCGCGGCGGGCCCGTGCCGCATCGGCGCGGCGGCAGCGCGTGCGCGGGTGCTACACCAGGCTGACTCATGAGGGTAAAAACACACAGACACAATTAATCGTCGACTCCCAGAAAATATAGAATATATGGGAAGTGGGGGGGAAGACGAAAATCAAAATTACCCCAAGTGCGACCCTACGTAGGAGTTGGAGCCCACAGGAAAGCAGCATTAGTAGTTACGGTAAACGCCGTCCTCCTCCTTCTCCTCATCGTCGTAGTTGCCGTTGCTTTTGCTAGTTGTTGCTTTTGCTTGGTT